ACCTGCAAGAAGGAAAAATATTCAGCCTCCGCAGGGATCCTATCCCACAACCCGCGCTTCAGAGAATCCCATGACCTGCTGCTTGTAGAACGTGGAGGAAACAGCTCCACACACCATTCAGAGAATCGCTGTGCGAATTTCGAAGGTAGATTCAGATCAGCGTCCTAAACCACGTCCGAATCTGCCAATCTTCATTAAAAATGGCCACTTTGATCTGTTCCTCAGTAAGATGTAACACAGAGGACACAATATTTCCCTTATTAACAAAGCCTCTGTTATATATACGGAAACGTTGAGGTTAGCAAACACTTTTGTTCTTCGATGTATTCGTAAGCAAAATAACGGATATGGTCACAACTCTTTCAAAAAATGGCTACGAAGATGATTTTGCCATTACCAGCATTGTGAAATGCATTTACAGAAATCCTTACATTCTATAAACCACTTGTGTCGGTTTGTATGTTTGTATGTATGTAGGTTTGTATGTATGTATGTATGTCTGTCCGTCCGCAAAATGCTTCACGGGTTCGAGTTCGCTGGAGGCGAAAACGACCGCTAGGCAAACCGGTAACCGATTGGTGCGGATGTATCAATCCAATGTTTTGATTGTGATAACAGCCTCCGCTATTTAAAGGCACTTTCCGCGATAAAATAAGGCTATGACCTTTCAAATGTGTCAGACGATCCGGAAGGAGATTGCGGAGGCTGCGCTACCTTTAGAAAGTGAAAATCGGCAAGAATTCCGCCGGCTGCTAGCTACTAGCTAGTAGCCACTATGCTATCTCTCTCCATTCCGAATGGTGAGAGTGAGGTGATACGATAAAAGAGCTGATATCTTTATGATAACGACGAGTGGAAATTCGTACAAACATGCGTTTTCTTCATTGCATGCATGTACAAGTTGGGGTCGATATGGAATCCTATTTAGGGCATTTTCGGCTGTTTTTTTTCGTGCTTATGTGGGTTCCGTTACCCACAATCTGTGATATCGGCCTCCGCCTATAAGACAACCATTCGGTACACTCCGAGCCATTGCACGAGCTGCTGGCGTGGCAGCTGGACGTGTGCTCGTGCGGGGGCAGGGTGGGGTGGAGCCGAGAGGGGGGGGGACGCCGTGCCCCCCCCCCTGCTTCCTTCCCCTGCACGTGCTCAGCCGGACCACTAATAATATCGCTGTGCCACTATATCATACCTTGGAACAAAGCGTCAGCGTTCCTGTATCGCCTGGCTCTGCATCCTTCCCTTGCC